AATCTCAGGAACTCAAGAGGCTGAGGCAGGAGTATTTCAAATTTGAGGCCAACCTCAACAACTTAGGAAAGGCCCTCAGTAACTTAGCAAGGTCTTGTCTCAAAATAAAAAATAAAAAGGGCTGGGGATGTGGTTCAATCCCCATTACCAAAAAAAAAAAAAAAAAGTTTGGAAGAAGTTCTTGGTTTTCTTTTAAAATGCAGGAAAATTTTGAATATGGTCATTTTGTTAGTGAGCTTTCAATTAATATAAACAAATACCTAAGATAAAATACCTAAGAGAAAAGATTTATTTGGGTTCATTGTTTTGCAAGTTTCAATCCATCATCAATTGGCTCCATTGCTTTCCAGCCTGTGGCAAGGCAGCACATCATGGCAGGGAACTTGTGGCAATGAAAAGCCACTCACTCACCTTAAGGCTGGGGAAGCCAGAGAATGAGGAGGGTTGTAGAGTCCACAATCTCCTTCAAGGGCACAACCGCACTAATACTGCCATTGTATACAGTAGAGAGCCAACAAAACCTTTCATTAGGCTCCATTTCCTAAAAGGTTTCACCACTTCCCAAAAGGCAAGCCTAGCTGAAAAGAATCCTCTAATAATTGGGCCTATGGGGAACACTCCAGATATCTATTGTAGACAAAATTTGAGTATGAAAGAAAAACTGAAGATGCAGATGAGGCAAGAGGGCAATACCTGGGATGGGGGATCAGCCAGAACCAGCAGATGAGCCAGTAGAGGTCAGGTGGAGAAGGTAACACACTGGAAGAAAGGGCCTGTTGGCTCACCTTAGTCCTACCCATATAAAAGAAGGTGATGAGGTCACTTTCCAGGAAGGTGTGATGAGAAAAGGATGCAGGTAAGAAGTACACTAATGGTTCAGAAGTGCTTTACAACTTTGTAAAACCATGTCCTTATATTAACAAAGATCTAGAAAGAGTCTCAAAATTTTAAAATGGTTTCTTTGGGATCATTGCTTACATTCCTCTTTTTTTTTAAAGAAAACTAAATGGAGCAAATAATATCAAATGGGAAGCACAAGTCGGTAAGAAATATATAGGTAAAAAAAGAACTGAAATTTGGTATTAAATAATATTCTGAAACTTCTTTTTCCTATTCTTTTCTTTTCAGTCATAGTTATAGAAGGACATAGTGAAAAACCAAGAATCACAAATATACCTCTCTGCTTTAGATACTTTAGATCCTTAGAGGGAGAACTACTAGGAACATTCAAGTTATTGTGTGTATATGTGTATTTTCTTCTTCTTCTTCTTCTTTTCTGATAGTTATTGCTATATCTCTCAGCAATATCTTTCGGGTTTTTGTTGTTTTTTGATTTTTTTTTTAAAGAGAGAGTGAGAGAGAATTTATATATATATATATATATATATATTTTTTTTTAGTTTTCGGTGGACATAACATCTTTGTTTGTATGTGGTGCTGAGGATCGAACCCGGGCCACACGCATGCCAGGCGAGCGTGCTACTGCTTGAGCCACATCCCCAGCCCCTGGTTTTTTTTTGTTTTTTTTTTTGAGACCGTTTCTTGCTAAGTCACTGAAGATCTTGATAAATTGTTAAGGGTTGTCTTAAACTTGCGATCCCCTGTCTCAGCCTTTCAGGTGCTTGGATTACAAGAGTGAACCACTATGCCTGGTTCTCAGTAATATATTATTTTTTGTTCTTAATTTACTTTTAGACATAAGTTAATGGCTCTCCAGATTATTAGGTGAAGGTTTAGCTCACAACACATCCCACCTCTTAGTGTGGTATATCAACTTCTGAAATCTTTATAGGCTTCTCTTTTTGGGCTGGGGATATAGTTCAGTTGGTAAATGCACTATGCCCTGGGTTCAATTCCCAGCACCACAAAGGAAAATAATAATAATATAGGCTTCTTTTAGGTGTTTACTAATATACTTTCACTTTTTTATTCTTATTCTGTTAACTATGGATAGTACTTGTTGGCTCTCTACTGTATACGATGGCAGTATTAATACCCTTTATCCTTCCCTATGATTCTCCTCTTTTCTCTCAGTTTTTGTCATCTATGATTTTACAGTTGCATCACTAAGGTTAATAACATTTTATTTCTATTTTGTAATCATTTTTAGCAATTCTCCTGGCCTTATAGGTTGATATAGTTCACTGCAGAGCACAGTTTATGCTATGATTGCATTTCTTACACACGTTTTTCTTTTTCTTGGCATTTCTCATTATCTTTTCCTCCTTATACTTTTGGCCTATATCATAGCCACAATAACTTTAATATCTTCTATCATATCACGTATCTATAAAATCTTCCTTTTGCTCCAGAAAACTCTCCCCTGGAGGCCACTGTTTCCTTGCTTCAATTTAAACTGGTTGCTTGCTTATCCTTGTGCACAGCTGTCATCTTGCAACTTGGATGCTCTCCTGAACTAAATCCATTATTTTCTGTGTTCCATTCAATGGCAGTGATTGCATTTGTGTAGGTCTTAGGTCAAGTTCCCTAGATGAAATAGAAGTTCTTTATTTTAAAGAATTCTGCTGGTGGGATGGAACACACCTGTTATTCCAGCTACTCAGGAGGCTGAGTCAGAGTTCTTAACCAAAAATACATACTTCTGGGGCTGGGGTTATGGCTCAGTGCCAAAGCACTTGCCTCGCACATGTGAGGCACTGGGTTTGGTCCTCAGCACCACATAACATGAATAAATAAAATAAAGGTATTGTGTCCATCTACAACTAAAAAAAAAATTAAAAATACATACTTCTGACATTTTTAAGCTGAAAAGATATTAATGAGATATCGGATCACCTACAGAATTGTTGGAAAGGCTGGGGTAACAGTTTTAATAGAAAATTTCCAGGTGCAACTCTAGAAAACATATTCAGCAGTGCTCTCAATGGAAAGTGTTGCTATAGCCACCACCAAACACCAAAGTAAGGAGTCTGACTTTGATTAACTACTGTCGTCCCAAAACTTGCCTACCTCTTCTGCTGCCTTCATTAGCAAACAGAAGTTCTGAGTCGAGCCTATTTCCTTACATTTACTCACTTCTGAATCTGAAGTCTTGTGCAGATGAATCTGCTTGTTAGAACCTAGGTTCTATTACTGCTTCTGATCTACAAAAGAAGTGGGAATTTTGAGTCCTGATTTTACTATGAGGAGGCAGAACTAAGAGATTTTTCCAAAATATACAAAAGTGACAGGAAAACAAATATATTAGATACCATACCTTTCCATGAACCTCTTCAATATAACATTGCACTGTTGTTAGTCAAATATTTCTTTTTTAAAAAACAACTTTGTTTATTCTTTTTTTTTATATGATGCTGAGGATGGAACCCAGTGCCTCACAAGTGCTAGGCAAGTGCTCTACCACTGAGCCACAATCCCAGCCCCTGTTAGTCAACTATTTCAGTGTGTGAGAACTTCAGGGAGTATCCATGCAAGTAAGAAAACAGGCACCTTGTATAGGACATTAAGAAATGGTAAGGGGTAGGAGCCAGTTCTCCTCTCAATCCATTACTTTTTATGTTCTTCTGGTCATAACTGCACATTTTCTCTCTTTATGTCTGGTCAAAGAAAGAATGGGACTATGAAACATCAAAGACAGTTGGTTTTAGAATTAAAAGGAATAGCGACAATTTTGTAAGGACTTTGGATTCTGTAGCCATTCCCTCTGCCATTTCTGAGGAGAGAGTGGGCCGATGAGCAAGAGGGGGACAGGTCTAAGTTTCAGAGTGAGGACTGGTCATATATCCCTTTTAGTGAATGGTTTTCCTTCAAGTAGTATCCTCCAGTACTCTCATAACAAGGCCCCCAGTCTTGACCATTGGTCTTTATAGAAAACAGTCCTGAATCTCCCTGACAAGCACTGGACTTCATTACAGTTCAAAGAAATAAGACAGGTGAACATACTAAAATGAGGCTGAAATTTTTTTTAAAAAATGAACATTATTCAATTAGGCGTTAAAGTGTGGGTGAGGAAGAGCTTGATGTTGAGACAACATGGCATTGAGGATAGAAAGACCACATACCTATGCATGATGCGCTACAATAACTATGAGTAGATTGGGGCCTTTAACTTTTGCATACAGAGTCAAATTGCAGATACTGTATAAACTTTCTACGTTAGTTAAGTGTGCCATTTTCAGGTGGTACCATAAAGGAGACCACCAGGGAAGAGGAAAAGGCGAAGAAATTGGGCTGGGCCAAAAGTGAGTGGCACTTCTGCAAATGCACAGGTCTAGAAAAAAGGCGGTGGGGTTGTCCCCTGGAGACATTTTGTTTTCATTTTTAAGTTTCTGTGGCTTAGAACCAGCCCCTACACTCTGACATCGTGAGACAACTCTGCTGCCTATGCCAAGGAGTTGGGAGTGACCTTGGTGATCCTCCTCAAATCCCTGGTGATGCACTACTCAGCATCCAGGTCACTGCTGTTACCTAGGCTTTTCTGGAGTTCTAGGTTATTCGACGACGGCCTTTCAAGAAGACCTATCCTAAATCCTCTCCCTAGAAATGCTCGGAAGCATCCTTGAGAACCCCCGTGGTTCACCTAGACAAGATGACAGTCCCTGCCATTGCTGCCCCTCCCACGTGGGCATAGGTCTTCAGCCAGGTCTAGCACTCGCTCCCAGGGGGGGGAAGTCCGCGCCCCGGGCCGAATGTCCTGGGGCAGGGTTTGGGCCTCCGCAGCGTGGCCGCGGCGCGGGCCTGCCAGTGGCTGGCTGAGGATGCTGGGTGCCCGCAGCCGGTGGGAGGCAGCGTGAGCCCGAGAGAGCCCAGAGCAGCCGCGGTGGCAGCTCTCGAGCGCAGCCTCCTCCCGCTCCCACAATGCACAGGGCGGAGGCGGCGGCGGCGCGGCATCACCGAACGCTGAGGTGGCTGCGGAGGCAGCAGCGACCCGAAGGACCCCAGGCACGCGGATTTGTCGCGGCAGCTAGCGGCGAGCCCGAGAGTGATGGCCAGGCCCCCGCGGGCCGCCAGAGCCTGAGGCGCCCCGCCCCGCCCCGCCCCTCCCGGCCCTGCCCTGCCCTGCTCCCCGCCGGCTGCTGCCAGGCGCTTGCTAGTCCGCACAAGGGGCCGCCCAGGCGAGGTGCGGCCTCCGCCCAGGCGGGGGTGTCGGCGCGTGGGGCTCCGCCATGGCTGCGTCCGAGCTCTACACAAAGGTAACGCGCCCCGCGGGCCCGCGTCGGGGGAGGGCAGGGGGCCGCGCGGGCGGCGCCGCGGGCTGTCAGGCTGCCGGGAGGCCACAGCGCGGGGACCCGCCCCGACCAGCTCCACTCATTTCCCAGCCTTACAAAACCCCGGCCCGCGCGTCTGGCACCCGCCGCTGCACCTTCCTCTTTCGGGCGTTGACGTTTGAGCGGCGGAGCGAGGCCTGAGTCGCTGGTCACCCAGACCCCCTGCCACACTTCTCGAGCTGGGGGTTGGATGAATTTCTGAGTGGAAAGGGACCCGAGTGGTTTAGTGGGGCGGAACCGGGCCGCATCGCTTGCTCTCCCGCTCAGTTTAGGAAAAATCCTGGATGCTGGGAGATGCTTGATGGGTAGATCCGATGGTCCCTCTCTTGCGGACACGAGCTTAAAATAACGTCTTGTGTTGGTATGCAGTCGGACTTCTACAGCCAGCCCATCTTTCGATGGGATTGTTTTGTGTCCTGCAAATGGCAGCCAGTATATTTTCACCTTTAGATGACGGGTTTCTAATCGCTGTCCTGGGCGGCGAGCCCTTGGGGAAGATGCAGCCGGATAAACGCGAGCTGATTCGCGGGCTGGGCGGATTGGTACTCATTGGTGGCTGGGAGTTTGCTGCCTGCGTGTAATCCCTTAGAGCCTTGTTAGGCTTCATGTTTTCACCTTCCTTTTGGGCGAGCCTTTTCCTTCTGGTTTTAGTTTAAGGGAAGTGGCAGCCTTTTCTGTATTAAACTGACTCAAGCATTCTCTGCGTCTGGTAATCTCTGAATGGTGGGTTTTGGAGACCTGACTCTTTGGAGATTTCTGAAAAATTGTATTAGGCAATGTGTGGTGCCCTTTGTGAATGTATGAGACTTTGGCACCTACCTACATCTTCTGTGTAGGTGGGTGTTTTGCCAGCTATTGATTACCCCTACATGCAGTTAACAGAATTGCCTTAACTTTTCTAGTTAACATTTGCAGCATTCTTCTCTTAGGGTAATGGAACTGTTGCTTCCTATATGACCGAAGTAAGACCAGGCCCAAATGGTAGCATAAAGGAATAGGTCTGGGTTGGGCATTAAGAGACCTGTTTCTAGAATAGATTCACTTACTGTGTGACCTTGGGTAAATCACTTATCCTCTCTGGGTAGTTTCCTCACTTGTAAATAGAGTTAATTATACCTGCCTTACATCCCTTACAAGCTGTTGTGGATCAAACCTAATAATAGTTGTGAAAGCTTTTTGTGATCTATGAGTTTCCCTATAAATATGATGTATATGATTAATTTCTTCAACCAGGAAGTGAGGAGCTTGCATAAAACATTCTCTGGGACTCCTTTCTTTCCAGCTCTAGATTTGCATCATTGGAATTTTACTCTAAACTTGAGGAAGAGCTTGATGTTGAGACAACATGGCTCTAGACATGTCTTTAGGCTCTAGACATCTCTAACATATAAATGATTATAATTAGAAACTGACTAAAAATCACTTTATTAACAAACACATATAGTACTTACTATATACTTACTATGTGGCAGATAGCAGTCTAAATATAATATTTTACAAATATTAACTCATTTAATCCTCATAGTGAATGTATACGGTAGATACTAAGAAATATTAGAATTATTTTCTAATAGTGAAGAGATCAGTGTGTAAACATTCCTTAGTTACTCTTTGTAATACTCCTAACCCCTGTCTGTGGTGGGCAGTCCGTTATAAAGCTGTTAATACTAGGCTGCTTGACTAGAGATTGATTGGATAGTTAATTGTTGTTGGATTTTAGATTTGCTTTATTTTCCCTTCCAAGATAGTTTGTAAGGAAAACAATTGACAAGATATTGTGATCTCTAAATTGTAAAGGTTTTGGGTTTCTGTCACAACTCAATCATAAACTATTTTAAAATTCACTTTCTAGACATTGTAAAGACAGACTGTTTTAGTCATCAAGACTGAAGTTGAGGCTTTAAGTGCTCATAATATACATATTACCTAAAATAGTCTGGTCTCTTGTTTATTTGTTAGTTAACTCTTTCTATGAATGGGCCTTAGCTTAATAGCAGGCAGAAATATTTATTGAGAATCCTGTGTGCTACTCAGCTTAATGTCCGGTATTTCTAACAATGGACAAAACACAGTCCTTTCTCTCAAGGGGTTCAGGATCCCCTCCTCCTCCCCTTTTTATCTCCTCCCAGCTATTGAGGATGGAACCTATGGGTACTTTACTTCTGAGCTACACCTCCAGCCGGTTTATTTATTTTTTTAATTTCAAGGTAGGGTTTTGCCAAGTTGTCAAGCTTGGCTTTGAACTTGGGATCCTTCTACCTCAATCTCCCGAGTAGCCAGGATTAAAAGTGTGTATCACCACATCCAGCTTCTTGTATCCTCGATTCACTTTGAATTTCCAAGTGCATAAATAACCTGTTACGGGCTGGGGATGTGGCTCAAGTGGTAGCGTGCTCGCCTGGCATGCGTGTGGCCCGGGTTCGATCCTCAGCACCACATACAAAGATGTTGTGTCCGCCGAAAACTAAAAAATAAATATTAAAATTCTCTCTCTCTCTCTTTTTTTAAAAAAAAATAAAAATAAAAAATAAATAACCTGTTACCTCAACAATTGGCAAATAATTGGTAGGGTATTAGGAGAAGTTAGGGAATATGTTGGGACATGGGGAAGGTTGGAATGATTCTAGAGACAAAATTGGGATAGTGATTATAAAGGGAAAAGGGAAATCTTTGAAGTAGTATTAGTGGGCAAATACAAGTTTCTTTCCCTTACAGAGGATTAATGGGAAGGAGGTTCTAGGATAAGGAAAAGATGTATTTTGGTGACATGCCATAATGATGATATTCAACATTGTAGTTAAATCTGAAAAATGCCCTTTTAAAAAATGTCACTCAAGGGGCTGGGGTTGTGGCTCAGTGATAGAGCACTTGCCTTGCACGTGTGAAGCACTGGGTTCGATTCTCAGCACTGCATATAAATAAATAAAATAAAGGTGCATTGACAACTAAAAAATATTTTTTAAAATGTCACTCAAAGCTTTAAAGGCAGATCTTGATGTGTGATACAGACTAGCTCCTATTATAGTAAAGGGCAAGAAACTGTTCAATTCTTCTTTTTGAGCTAGAATGATAATTTTTTATGCCTTTATTTTATTTATTTTTATGTGGTACTGAGGATCAAACCCATTGCCTTACATGTGCTAGGCAAGCACTCTACCACTGAGTTACAACCCCAGCTCCATGATAATGGTTTTGTTACAGAAATTTAGTAGAGTTTTTATTGTAAATTTTTCCAGTAGAATAATTTTTTTAATATTTATTTTTAGTTGTAGTTGGACACAATACCTTTATTTTTAATTTTACTTATTTATTTTTATGTGGTGCTGAGGATTGAACCCAGGGCTTCACACGTGCTAGGCGAGCGCCCTACCACTGAGCCACAACCCCAGCCCCCTAGAGTAATTTTTTCTGTACCAGGAATTGAACCCAGGAGCTCTTTACTACTAAGCCACATCCCTAGCCCTTTTTATTTAGAGACAGTGTCTTGCTGAGTTGCTTAGAGCCTCAATAAGTTGCTGAGACTGACATTGAACTAGTGATCGTGCTCTCTCAGCCTCCAGAGCCACTGGGATTACGGGAATGCACTACTGCACTTATTGAATAGAGTAAATACTTTAAGAGCAATAGCTAGGTTCATGGCTATAAATTTCTGGAAACTAACATTTGGTTAAATATGTTTATTGTTTTTTTGGGGGGGTGTTGTGATCTGTTTTTTAAATTGCAGCATTATTGTGCTATTTATATACTATACAATACACCAATATAAGGTGTATGATTCAGTGGTTTTAGTATATTTACAAAGTTGCATGTTGATTTGTTTCCATGCCTAAAGAATGGAAGGTGGAAGATAGCTATGATATCTCAACGCTTCTGATTTTGAAAATGTTTGCTAGTCTTTTTCTTTTTGTGGAACTGAGGATTTAACCCAGGGACACTCTACCACTGACCTACATCCCTACTCCTATTTATTTATTTATTATTTTGTTTTGAAACAAAACAAAAGGGTCTCACTAAGTTGCAAAGGCTGGCCTTGAATTGTGATCCTTTTGCCTCAGTTTCCCAAGTTGGAAATAGTCTTGCATTTACTGCTCCCAGCTTGAAAGTATTTGTTAGTCTTGTCTTGCCAGTGGATATCTGTATCCATAACATCAACCATTGGTACAACTACAAATGATTTACCATTTATGGAGCAGGGTTTATTCATTAGACCTATAAGTATTATGAGCAGCAATATAATGAGTTGCATGTTAGTGATCTTCATAGGAGGTTCCAAGACACCATGTACAGCACCATAAATACTATGGAATGGCCAAAATTACTGAAGCTGTTTAATTAGGAGTCCTTATGGTATGTTAAAATGCTGAGTATTATAACAGTACAAAAACAATCTGAAGTCCCAAAGCCATGTAAACTTTGCTAGATGAAAACAGCTTTTCAGGTGAATCGATGGTATCTTTGTAATTTTCCTTTCCCACCACATTTTTTATACCTTGTGAAGCCATGTGGCCTAGATTTTTTCTGGCATATTTCCAGTTTTATATTTTATGCTATTGTTCCTTCAAACCATCATTCCTGGAAATTCTGATATTTGTTTAAACTTAATTTCTCAGACTGCTTTCATCCTCTTGAAACAGGACACAAATCTCATGTGATCATGTGCTCTGATTGGGAGTTTAGCAAGCACATGCTGTCCTCAAGCCTCCTCCCTAGTCACATTCCTTCTCTTTGTATTTGCTCCTGGTGTTCCTAGGCTTATTAATGGCACTGCTGTCTCCTAGCTCCTCAGGTTGGAAACCTCAGCATCCTTTCCCTTGTCTCACAATCTACATTTATTCCAATTCTAATTCACTTGGCATCCAACTGACTGTTCAGATTCTGAACTACTACTAGCACATTTTTTCCCCATATAAAGAAGTGGTTAAACA